ATTACATAAAGTATCTTCTACAACTTTAACAGGATCAAGTTAGAATTTGATAACAAAAGGCAAACTGGAAAATTCACAAATTTGTGAAAATTAAACAACACACTCTTAATCAACGGAACAAAGAAATCACAAAAAATATTACAAAATACTTAGAGATAAAGAAAAAGCAACATACCAAAACATGAGATACAGCAAAAGCAGTATAGAGAAAGAAGCTTACAGCTTTAAAGTTTATATTACAAAAGAAGAAAGATTTCAAATCAACAACCTAACTTTACAACTTAAGGAACTAGAAAAAGAACAAGCTAAACCAAAAGCTAGAAGAAGGAAAGAAATAATAAAGATCAGGGATAAATAAATAAATAAATAAATAAGAAACTAGAAAAACAATAGAGAAAAAACAACAAAACAAGATGGTTTTTCAAAAAGATTAATAAAATTGACAAAAATTTACCTAGAATGACTAAGAAAAAAGAGAGAAGACTCAAATTACTAAAATCAGAAATAAAAGTAGGAACATTACTACTGATTCTATAGAAATAAAAAAGATTACAAGAGTACTGTGAACAAGTGTATGCAAAAAATTGGATAACCTGGATGAAAGACAAATTCCTAGAAACACAAAACCTATCAAGATTGAATCATGAAGAAAGAAAATATCTGAATAAACCTATAACTAGTAAGGATAATGAATGAGTAATCAAAAACCTCCCAACAACAAACAAAGCTCTGGACCTGATGGCTTTATTGGTGAATTCTACTAAACATTTTAGGAAGAAATAACACTAATCCTTGTCAAAATTTTCCAAAAACTTGAAGAAAAGAGAACATTTCCTAATTTGTTTGCCCTGATACCAAAGTCAGGAAAAGATACTATGAGAAAAGAAAAGTACAGTCCAATATCCCTTATGAACACTGATGCAAATATCCTTAACAAAATATTAGCAAACAGAATTCAGCAGCATATTGAAAAGATTAAACACCATGTTCAAGTGGGATTTATTTCTGGAAGGTAAGGATGGTTCAACATATGAAAATCAATCAATGTAACACACCACATTAACAGAATAAAGGGGAAAAAAACATATGATCATCTCAATTGATGCAGAAAAATCATTTGACAAAATTCAACACCCTTTCATGATAAAAACACTCAACAAACTAGGAATAGAAAGAAAATACCTCAACATAATAAAAGCCATATATGAAAAACCCACAGCTAACATCATATTCAGTGATGAAAGATTGAAAGCTTTTCAATCAGAAATAACAAAAGGATGCCCACTTTCACCACTTCTATTCCACATAATACTGGAAGTCCTGGCCAGAACGATTAGGCAAGAAAAAGAAATAAAAGGCATCCAAATTGGAAAGGAGGAAGTAGAATTATCTTTGTTTACAGATGATATGATCTTATATGTAAAAACCCTCAAGATTCCACGAAATTATGGTTAGAATTAATAAATCAATTCAACAAAGTAGGATAAAAAACAAACACAGAAAAATCAGTTGCATTTCTATACACTAACAATGAACAGTCTGAGTAGGAAATTATGAAAACAATTCCTTTTACAACAGCATCAATAAGAATAAAGTACTTAGAAATTAACCAAGGAGGTGAAAACTTGTACTATAAAAACCACAAAACATTAATGAAAGAAATTAAAGAAAGAAGACAAATTAATGGAAACACATCCCATGTTCATGGATTGGATGACTGAGTATTATTAAGATGTTTGCACTATCCAAAGCCATCTACAGATTTCATGCAATCCCTATCAAAATCCCAATGACACTTTTTTGCAGAAACAGAAAAATCTATCCTAAAATTCATATGGAATCACAGGGGACTCTGAATAGTTAAAACAATCTTGAAAAAGAAGCTCAATGTCGGAGGACTCAAGTTCCCTGATTTCAAATCTTACTACACAGCTCCATTAAAGAAAACAGTCAGGCACTGACATAAAGACAGATGTATAGACCAATGGAATAGAATAGAGAGCCCAGAAATAAATCCTCACATATATGGACAAATGATTTTTGACAAGGGTGCTAATATCAATCAATGGGAAAACTGGATATCCACATGCAAAAGAATGAAGTTGGACCCTTACCTAACACCATTTACAAAAATTAACTCAAAATGGATCAGAGACCTAAATGTAAGACCTAAAACTATAAAACTCGTAGAAGGAAACATAGGGTAAAACCTTCATGACATTGAATTTGTCAATGATTTCTTGGATATGACACCAAAGGCACAGGCAACAAAAGAAAAAATAGATAAAATGGACCTCATAAAAGTTAAAAACTTTTGTGCATCAAAGGACACTATCAACAGAGTAAAAAGGCAACCCACAAAATGGGAGAAAATATCTGCAAATCACACATCTGATAAGGAGTTAATATCCAGAATATATAGAGAACTCCTAAAACTCAACAATAACAAAAACCAAACAACCCAATTTAAAAATGGAGAAAAGATTTGAATAGACATTTCTCTAAAGAAGACATACAAATGACCAATAAGCACATGAAATGATGGTCACCATCAAGAATCAGTAGGGAAATACAAATCAAAACCACAATAAGATACCACTTCACACCCATCAGAATAGATACCATCCAAAAAACAAAAACAAAACAGAAAAAAACAAGTGTTGGTGAGAATGTAGAAAAATTAGAACCCTTAGATACTGTTGGTGGGAATGTAAGATGCTGCAGCCACTGTGGAAAACAGAATGGAGGCTCCTCAAAAAATTAAAAATATAATTACAATATGAACCAGTAATTCCACTTCCAGGTATACACCCAAAAGAACAGAAAGCAGGGTCTCAATGAGATATTTGTGCATCCATGTGCATAGCAGCATGATTCACAATAGCCAAAGAGTGGAAGAAAACCAAGTATCCACTGACAGATGAATGAATAAGCAAAAAATGGCATACACATACAATGGCATACTATTCAGCCTTGAAAAGGAAGGAAATTCTGACATATGCTACAACGTGGATGAACCTTGAGGACATTATGCTAAGTGAAATAAGCTAGTCACAAAAAGACAAGATACTATATGATTCCATTTATATCAGGTAGCTAGAGTAGTCAAATTCAGAGACAGAAAGTAGAATAGTGGCTTCCGGGGGTTTGGGGAGGGAGGACTTGGGAGTTATTATTTAATGGGTAGAGTTTCAGTTTTACAAGATGAAAAGAGTTCTGCAGATGAATGGTGGTGATGGTTGTACAATATGAATGTACTTAATACCACTGAACTGTACACTTAAAGATGGTTAAGATGGTAAATTTTATGTGTATTTCACCAGAATTTTTTTTAATTTAAAAAATAAAGCATAAACAAATTGTGGTGGATTCATTCAACAGAGCACTACTCAGCAGTAAAAGGAATGAAATATTCATACACACAGCATGGATGATTCTCAAGAAAATTATGATGTATGCAATAGACCAAAAATAGAGTATAAATACTTTATGATTCCAATTGTATAAAATTCTGGGAAAGGCAAACAAATGCATAGAGAAAAAAAGGTAATTCAATGGATTCCTTGGGATGTGGCTAGTGGTTTCCTGGGGAAGGCAAGGAGGGATAGTAAAGGGGCACGAGGTAGCTTTGTGGGTGATGGAGATGTTTATTATCATAATTGTGATGCTGGTTCCCTGAGTGTATGCATATTTTAAAACTTATCAACTTGTACACATCAAATATGTACAGTCAATTACTGCATGGCAGTTATATCTCAACAAAGCATTAAAAGAAGTTGTTGCGCATAAAAATCTGATCTCCACTCATTTTAGAAACTAGAAGATTTGGCAACCCTATATTGACTCTACTCTCTCTCTCCTCATGCTTCAGCAGCAAAGATCTCTGGCTATGTCACAAATGCTACATCCTTGGAGTACAAGATCTACCTTCTCTCAGTCCCCATTTCTCTGCAGCAATGGCCTTGAGATGAATAGTGCAGTGAGCCTGCAGTAATCCACAAAATATTTAGATTATCTGCTCTGCCAGTGACCTTAGTCATAGGACAGAGATCTGGAGGTCCTAAGAATTTCTACAAAGTCTAAATCCTGCACAGTCACACTCAAGGGAACATCTGTGGATGCACTGTTAGAACAGGAATATTCCCTCTAGTTTGCTGCAATCTCATCTGCTCACTGTTATCACCTCCAGTGTTTCTGTACAAATTGTGGTCCCATCTGGGCCCAGTAAGTCTTATAGAGACACCTGTATACCGAACATTAGACTTCAAGGCCTACAGCTCTTTGGCAAGTACCAGGTAAACAGTGTCCACTAAACAGTGCTAGGGAATATGAGGCATCCCCTGGAAACAAGGGGCCTGATTCAGGCTGCTCCCAGATGCACTGAAGGTTGTCACAACTGCCCCTTCCTCAGGGTAATCTCTGGTCCATGAGAATTCATGCCATTCAGACCACATTAGGCCCACAAAGCCCTACAATCTTCCCTAGGAAGCCTTGAGTAGCAACACAAACAAGGCCAAATCTGGACTGAGAGCTGTTCTCTGTCATCCTGCTGTTCCCTCTGAGGCAAATTTGGAGACCCCGTTAGTTTGGTAGACCTTAATTCGGTTCCCAACCCACTCCACACAGTGGTCAGAACACAGAAGATTAAAGGTGGCTTTATCAATAAGACCCTTATCACCCAAACCAGAGCAATGTAGAGTAGGTAATTGTTGGGATATGTAATGTGCAGACTGGATAAATCCACGAAGAGCACCATATGAGATCCACATCATTGAAAAAAGGAAATCTTCTCTGCCAGCAGAACCCAGCTCAAGACTTCATGGCCAAAGATGGGTCAGGTCCACAGCTAAGCCAGTCACATGGGAGGGGATGACATCTTCCTATGGCCTCAGGCTACTCACGATTCCCTCTTGGAAAGAGAGAACAGAGATCTGTCTTCTCTGAGCACAGGGAGTGGCTGACACACACTCTGGAGACCTACCAGTGGGTAGAGCTGAGCTGGCTTCTCCTACAAACACTAGTAGTGACAAAACTCTGGAAAAGTTCATGTCAGAAAATGCAACTTCACTCCTGAAAGCTCCCAACATATCTAGCATTGGTAGGGAATCTCCCCAGTGTGGACACTTGGATAAACCAGGTTCAACTTCTGGCTTATGGCTCCCTCATAAAGACTACTCTCAGAGCTTATCTCTAGTGTGTGTTGTGTTGAAGGAGGGGGGAGCACATTCTCTGTACTCCTTTGTCTAGTGTGAATTTTCTGATGCCGAATGAGGGTAGGCTTTTGGCTGAAGGCTTTTCCACATTCGTTGCATGTATACGGCCTATCTGGTTTGTGAACTTTCTGGTGCTGCCTCAGATTAGACCTTTGTCTGAAGGTTTTCCCACATTCGAGGCACTCATAAGGCCGTTCACCGGTGTGAAGTCTCCGATGGTTATTGAGGCTGGAGCTTTGGTTAAAAAATTTCCCACATTCAGGGCACTGATAAGGCCGTTCACCAGTGTGAAGTCTCCGATGGCTGTTGAGGCTGGAGCTTTGGCTAAACAATTTCCCACATTCCGTGCACTCATAAGGCCGTTCACCAGTGTGGACTCTCTGATGTTTCATGAGGTCAGAGCTTCGGCTGAAGGCTTTCCCACATTCACTGCACCCAAAAGGCCGTTCACCAGTGTGAACAATCTGATGCTGAATGAGACTGGCGATGTGGCTGAAGAATTTCCCACATTCATTGCACTTATAAGGTCTTTCTCCAGTGTGCACTCTCCAATGTTTAATCAGGCTGGAGTTGCAGTTGAAGGATTTCCCACATTCACTGCACTCGTGAGCGCTCTTCCCAGTATGAACCCTCTTGTGATGAATGAGGTTGGAGCGTTGGCTAAAGAACTTCCCACATTCGCTGCACTCGTAAGGCTTCTCACCAGTGTGAACCCTCTTATGTTGAATGAGGTTGGAGCTTCGGCTGAAGAACTTCCCACATTCGCTGCACTCGTAAGGCTTCTCACCAGTGTGAACCCTCTTATGTTGAATGAGGTTGGAGCTTCGGCTGAAGAACTTCCCACATTCGCTGCACACATGAGGGCTCTCACCCGTGTGAACTCTCTGGTGTTTAATGAGACTGGAGTGTTGGCTGAAGAATTTCCCACATTCACAGCACTCATAAGGCTTTCCTCTATTGTGGTCTCTCTGGTGTTGAAAGAGGCCAGCAGCATGGCTAAAGAATATCCCACATCTGCTGCACTCGTACGGCCTTTCTCCAGTGTGTGTTCTCTGAGGCTGCACAAGTGTGGGTTTGTCACTGAAAGTGTTCCCAAATTCACTGCACTTGTTACGGCTTTGCACAGTGTGAAGATCCTCTACACCGTCGGTGCTCTGGTGTGGCCCCTCCACACTGTGAGTGACCTGATGCTGGAGAAAGCTGGATCTGGCCACAAAGTCCTTCCCACCCTCCCTGACTGTGAAAGGTTTCTTTGATGTGTCTTCTCTACAGCTCTTCAAAAGCAAGGCCCCACCTTCCTCCCTTCTGATGGGCTTCTCTACATTCTCCTGCATCTGTTGCTGATGAAGGTTTGGGTTGGACCCAAATTCTCTTCCATACGCCTCACACACATAAGGTTTATGCCCGGGATGTGTCGCCTGGTGCTCAGCCAGGTGCAAAATGTCTTTCAAGTGTAGGCCACACAGGTCACAGGGGTAGTCCTCCTGGGTGGACAGAGCTGCCTTGGGATTCCTGTCCTGTGACACTCTTTCTACAGAAATACTATGTTCAGAAGGTGATTCCACACCCTCCGTTCCACGGCAAAAATCTGAAAGCAGAGAAATGCTGGTAAAGATCATGTTACCTCTGATAGAAGGAAATAGCCCCATCACAAATGCATGTCTGACCCAGGAATGAGTCTCTGGAATTGTTGGCATGATGATAAGCCTGAGCTCAGGGTAAGGAACGGTCTGCTCTGCAGTACTGTGCCTGGTAAGGTCACAAAACAGGGGAGGGCTTACCAAGACCAAGGACACAAGGATGACATACAGTACTGGGCAGAAACGCAGGGTCACTTCTGCTAGTATCATACAAGACCTGTGCAGAAGGATGTGTCTAGGCCCAGGAAAATCTGAGTGCCACTGGATAGCTGGCGTTCAAGGATTATTATAGAAATGGGCACATCTCACGACATATTAAGTGTAGGTCCACATTGAAAGGGCTGCAGAGGGAGCTGTGGAAAGAGTGAGACACGGAGGCCAAAAAGGTGGGGCACAGCCAGGGGCCCCAAATCGGAGTAGAAATACCAAGTGGACAATGTGTGAAAAATGGGAAGAAAAAGTGGAAGAGATACAGCCATTGGCTTTGGCACCGAAACAACGATGAACATGAGAAAAGCTGCAGGTAGGATTTGAAGGCACTAGTGATGTTACATACTCCCCTCATCTCCCACTTACCAGAACCATGCCCACCATACAACCCTCTTGCCATGGCTGAAGTCATGTCCACTCTGTCAGGCACCCAGGGCTCTGCCCCCAGCTCCAGCTGGGCAACTATGTGGGACCTGAAAGATGTCAGTCCTAAGGGAAAGACAGGGCAGGTAAGTGGCCAGCACTTGCCCAGGTGAACTAGCCCACGACAGACCACAGGAGAGACAATGAAACACTACAAAAAGAACACACGAGGGAGGTCTGGCAGGAACATCCCAGGGGTCACGGCAGGGAGTAACCACATCAGTGCCTAGAACTCCTGGCAGTCAGGCTTCAGGAAAAGCTAAAGGGAAGGAGCAGAACTGAACTGTCACAGATCTAGATAATCACCCAGGCTGGGAGGGGCCCAGAAGACAGGACTTATTGGGCTGACTGCAAGACTTCTCGTTCCTGGACCCTTCCCTGCAAGGCTTCGGGGCAGTAGGTGTTGGGGCTGCTCAGGGAGAGGACGGGACAGTGCACACAGCTCAGCCCTGGAGCCCACAGCACATGTACAGGAAAGGGGGGAAGGAAGCAGAGCCCAAGGTCTGGCCGTAGGAAGCAAAGAGCAGCCTCTTGGTAAAAGTGGACAGGCAGAAATGAGCTCAGGACACCCGGGTGGGTGTAAGGGCCTTACCCAGCGAGGCTATCAGTGCAAAGTTCTCCAGCATTACGTCGCAGTACAGGAGTCTCTGAGCCTCATCAAGGAGCCCCCACTCCTCCTGGGAGAAGTAAATGGTCACGTCCTCAAAGGTCACACAGCCCTGCCATGATGGGGACAGTTCATTCCATGATCAGCTTCTCTCCTCAGGACTCCCTGTCTGTCCCCTGCTCACCTTCCTCCCCGGCTCCCAACTCAGAGGAGACCCCCGGCCCTGGTTCCAGTGGCACCTCCTCGGTTCTCCTGCCTCACATGACTGTGGTCAGCCCACAGCATCAATAGGCAGCTGGGCAGAGAGACACCAGCTAAGCTCTGAGCCTGAAGTACAGGGCCTACCCCCTCTTCTGTGGGCCCTCTCCTCTAGTGTCACCAACGTCATGCTTCCCAGATACAAACAAACGTGGGCTCAATTTTCTTCCTTCATCCACAGTACCAGGGCCCTGGGGACAACAGCTCACACTCACTCCCATATGCATCTCTTTTTGGACTGCACCTTTGTCAAACTCTGGACCTCACCACTGCATCCCCACTGTCGCTGTCCCCTCTCCCCATCTCAGCCCACATCATAACCATCTCCATGGACCCCACATGTTACTCTGCACATGGCATCCAGAGAGTTCTTGGCAAATACAACCATGATCTCATCCTGCCCCAGACCTTGGATGGCTCCCACTGCCACGGGAAACACCCACCCAATATCCAGAACCACACCCAGATACCAGACACCTGTGGCCCTCTTCTATGCTATACATTCTGTCCCTTCGTCTGTCACACTCATTCAAAAGCCAACTCCTCTGGTCCTCCTACCTCCACTCACCCAGGGTTGAGTGGCTCTCCCAAGTGACTCCATCTGCCCCTGAGCTAATTCCCCAGCCCAGCTGAAAATCCCCAGCTCCATTAAGGGTCACCACAAAGGCCTGGTGAGAACGCAGACGGGCAAATGAGCACCAGCCCAGGACTCCCCGTAACATTACCTCCGTTACTACCAAGCCTCAGCATCCCTCTCATATCTACGCCCCCAGGAAAATTTGGCCCCCTGCCAGACCCCTTTTTCCCTACACACAGCCCCCCACCATGACAACTGCTCTTCCCCATCTGTCTTTATGATGCCAAACAAGCCAATCGTGGGGCCTGACCAAGATACTCCCTTCTCAGTCTCAGGCCCCCCCTTCCTCCTTCCCCCTAACATCATTGCCACCGTGACCTGGAGGTTCACACTCCTAAAGCCGACACACTGCTACACCCTTGTACTCATGACAGATGCCACATTTTGGATGTTTCTAACTGTGGAAATAAATGACCAACCAAATGAGGAAAACAGAGGCTATTTATTCAGAGCTTGCTCTTGCAAGGGAGTCAGCCACTGTCGCTTTTGTTCTGGCCGAGACTCAACGGCAGGGAGAGCAGTGGGAAAGCTTTATAGTGGGAAAAAGGGAAGGTTTCAGGTGTGAGGAGGCTGACTGGAGGCTGTGGCCTGGGGGAGCTGGAGGCAGACTAACTGGAAGCGGGATGTCCTGTGTGATCGCTCAGGGGAGCATGTTTGGCTTTCTCTGGTTGGTCCTAAGCTGGAAGCAGGAACAAAAATTAGAGAGGCTGTCAGTTATGAATCAAGACCGGATCATTTGGGCTCAGCTGTTAGAGCATTTATTGTTTAACTTCCTGGACTGTCACTAGAGATAGCAATCTGGGTTCCTGGAGTCTCACTTAGAGAGGCTGCCTTCCTGGGTTGTTTACTGAAGATAAGGAGGTTGGTTTCCTGGGCAGGCTGCTGCAGGTTGTGGGCCAGAGTTCTATTTTTATGTGGGATCTGGCCACTGTCCCTCTGTGTATTCAGTCTCCCATAACCAGAACTAAACCGCCCCAGAAGCCCTGTGTGTGTGTCTGGATGCCCACTCGTCAGGTCCACTCAGGGGTCCTGGACATCAGAGCTCAGCATAGTCACAACCTAACGGGTTCTTCCGCAGAAAATTCCACTACCACCAGCTTCCCTTCTCAGCTGATGGCTCACCCATCCTTCCAGCTGCCTCAGCCAAAAACCACGGAGCCATCCCTTCTTCTCACCTTCCACATCAGAAAATCTGGTCAGCTCAGCTTCAAAGACAGATCCAGAATCCGATCACTTCCACCTTAGCCCCCTGCACCACCCACCCGGACTACTGCCGTAGCCTACTCCTCGGCCCCCTGCCGCCACCCCCACCCCACAGTCAGTTTTCCACTCTGCATCCGTAGGAAGCCCGTTAAGACCTGAGTCAGATCATCTTCCTCCCCTGCTCTAAACCTTATCCGGCTCCCAACGCTCTCAGAACAGAGGCCCAGCTCCTCCCCGTGCCTTTCCAGGGCTGACTTGCTCTCTGAACGTCCTCTCACTCTCACCACCCGGCATTTGCACATGCTGGTTCCTGTGCCCAGGAAACCCTCTCTCACCTCATCCCACTAGAGTTCAGAAATGGAACCGCTCTACACAATTCCTGGCCTGGATTCAGGACCCCAGGGGGGGAGTGGCTCCCCTCCAGGGCCCCCAGACTCAAAAGCCAAGACATGGGAAAGGCAGCAAGTCGCACAACAACGCCCATCTTGTATATCTCGGCGCCAGGCACAGGAGGGCAGGGGTCTGAGCGGCTGAGGGCCTGAAGCCCATCCACTCACCTGCGCCGGGTCCATCGGCGCCGCCGCCGCCATCCGAGCCTGGGCACGCAGCGGGCAGCAAGAGGCGGTGACCGAGGCGGGCTCAGCCCCCCGCCCACCTTGCCCTGCCCTGGGCGGGGTGTGACCTCGGGCTGCGGGGCCCCCTCCTAGCCTCAGTCTCCGGGTGTACACGGCGCGCGGGCCCGGGGCGCCGCCTCTGCGGCCGCGGAGAGCGCCGCAGGGGGTCACGG